CTTGATCCGGTCATGGTTACACAGATGGCAAAGTACTTGGACACTGTGTATGTTTCTGGATGGCAAGCTTCGTCGACGGCTTCATCTACGGATGAGCCAGGCCCAGATCTAGCGGACTACCCTTATGTGAGTATGCTTTAAATCGAAAACGTAGTCAAAGGAAGAAACTCATTGTTTTTTTAAGACAACTGTACCCAACAAAGTTGGCCATTTGTTCATGGCACAACTCTTCCACGACCGAAAGCAACGTGAGGAGCGTCTTAGCTCTGCAAAGGCCGACCGCACCAAACTTCCCAATGTCGACTACCTGCGGCCGATCATTGCTGATGCAGATACCGGACACGGAGGTCTTACGGCGATCATGAAGCTCACCAAGCTCTTCATCGAGAAGGGTGCAGCTGGTATACACATTGAGGATCAAGCACCAGGAACGAAGAAGTGCGGACACATGGCTGGAAAGGTTTTGGTACCTATCAGCGAGCACATCAACCGCTTGGTAGCTATCAGAGCTCAGGCAGACATTATGGGTAAGATTGGGCAAACCTGAATACAATGGAACCATACTAACGAGAAATTCTTAGGCACCGATCTACTCGCTGTCGCACGTACCGACTCAGAAGCCGCTACCCTCATCACTTCAACCATTGATCCACGCGACCACCACTACATTCTGGGCTGCACCAATCCTGCACTCCAGCCTCTGAGCGAGCTCATGTACGCTGCAGAGCAAGCTGGCAAGAGCGGTGCTCAACTTCAAGCCATTGAAGACGCCTGGATCAAGGAGGCCAACCTCAAGCTCTTCCACGAGGCTGTAATCGATACCATTAACGCTGGCGTACACGTCAACAAGCAAGGCCTGATCAACGAGTTCCTGGAGAAGAGCAAAGGCAAGAGCAACTCGGAAGCACGTGCCATTGCCACTGGTATTACCGGCGTCGACGTATATTTCAACTGGGAGGCAGCAAGGACGCGGGAAGGTTACTACAGGTACCAGGGCGGCTGCCAGTGTGCCATCAACCGCGCCATAGCATACGCTCCCTACTGCGACATGATCTGGATGGAGTCGAAACTACCAGATTACGCGCAAGCCAAAGAATTTGCCGACGGCGTGCACGCCGTATGGCCTGAGCAAAAGTATTTCTCTCCATCTATCTATTCATTCCTCATAGATTACTAACATTCTGCCAGACTTGCATACAACCTCTCACCTTCATTCAACTGGAAAGCCGCCATGCCACGTGACGAGCAAGAGACATATATTCAGCGCCTCGCCAAGCTCGGCTACTGCTGGCAGTTCATCACGCTCGCTGGCCTGCACCAGAGCGCGCTCATGGCTGATACTTTCTCAAAGGCATACGCTAAGCAGGGCATGCGTGCGTATGGCGAGATTATCCAGGAGCCCGAGGCGGAGAACAAGGTCGATGTCCTTACGCACCAGAAATGGAGCGGTGCCAACTATGTAGACAACTTGCTCAAGATGGTTAGTGGTGGTGTCAGCTCGACGGCGGCAATGGGAAAGGGAGTCACGGAAGATCAGTTCAAGTAGGATTTTTGGAAAGGGTTGACTGGATGGATAATATGTTGAGAAGAGTAACGTCCATCCCAGTGCCGGGACGCACGGTGCAACGCGACACCTTCTCTTCCGGACTCTCGGACTTTCTATAGCGCGCCTGCCTACTAGATGTAGTTAGTGCCTGCAATAGTTCAGCCGATGCAACACCATTAGCCCTACTAAAATATCTACCCCTTATTTTTAACGTGTAATATCTTTACTACTATCATAGCTTTTATAAACGTAATTATAGTAATTAATTTATAAGATATTGTTACGGTGCGGGTCCGTACACTCCGAACGTAAGCTTAAGTATCAGTTACGCAAACAACAACGAAGCTTTGTTGTCTTGTGCCTGCCTTTTGGCAGCGTGGTAGGCGCGTGTAGCTG